TAATGTAGTTATTTCGTGTTTCTGTAGCTAATTTGATTTTGAAAATTAGATTTGTAACAATGGATCAGAGTTGGATCATTTACAGACGAACAACAAATGAATATGAGAGTGGAGTAGAATAATTCCTTGAATTTGCTAAGATGAATGTTCGGATAATGATGGAAGATTCTATTGCCCTTGTGTTAAGCTGCTTGAATGAGCGAAGATTACCGATCTGAAGTTATTCGGGAACATGTTCTTTGTGATGGTTTCCTAAAGAGTTACATAAAGTGGACATGGCATGGTGAATTATTAAACATGCCAAGTGTAGAAGACAAAGAAGAAGTTGATCTAGAGATGGATGATCAGCTGGAGGAAATGATTCATGAGCTTGGACAAGATGTCTTCCAACACACACATGTGTACGAGAAGTTGTCCAATGATGCAAAAGAGTCTTTGTATACAAATTGTACTAAGTTCACACGATTGTCGGCGGTACTAAAATTGTTCAATGTAAAGGCAAAGAATGGGTGGACTGATAAAAGTTTCACAGAATTGCTTGAGTTGTTGAGTGACATGCTCCCTGAAGGTAACACATTGCCAACCCGCAATTATGATGCTAAGAAGATATTGTGTCCAATGGGTATGGAGTACCAAAAAATTCATGCATGTCCGAATGATTGTGTGTTGTACAGGAAAGAATTTGAGAACTGTCACGAATGTCCACAATGCGGGGAATCACGATACAAGAAGAAGGATGGTGATTCTGACAATGATGTTATGAAGGGTACCCCGGCAAAAGTGTTATGGTATCTTCCCATTGTTCCAAGGTTGAAACGATTGTTCACTAATGGAAATGATGCAAAGCTCACTAGATGACATGCAGATAGTCGTATTAAAGATGGTCAGTTGAGGCATCCGGCAGATGGATTGCAATGGAAAAAAATTGATTCCATCTTCCAGAATTTTGGTAATGATCCAAGAAACATTAGGTTTGGACTTGCTACGAGATGGAATGAATCCATATGGAAATTTAAGCGAGTAAACATAGTTCATGGCCTGTGGTGTTAGTTATTTACAACTTACCTCCGTGGTTGTGTATGAAACGTAAGTACTTGATGCTATCTTTGATGATCTCGGGTCCCGGACAACCTGGAAATGACATTGATGTTTTTTAAGCCCATTGGTTGAAGAGTTGAAGATGTTGTGGGAGGAAGGTGTTGATATGTTTGATGGGTACACAGGTGACTTATTCAAGTTGCGTGCAATGTTATTTTGTACAATTAATGACTTTCCAGCATATGGTAATTTGAGTTGCTACAACACAAAGGGACATAAAGCTTGCCCGATATGTGAAGAAGACACATGTTACTATCAACTACAACATGGAAGGAAAACAGTGTACCTTGGACACCGAAGATTTCTTCCTTCAAACCATTCATATCGTAAATTAAAAAAATCATTTAACGGGTGTCAAGAAAATGATGCAGCCCCAACACCTTTAAGTGGGGAAGAAGTATATCAACGAGTAAGTGCAATTTCGTGTGAGTTTGGAAAGACGCAAAAGAAAGTCACAGGTATATGGAAGAAAATGTCAATCCTTTTTGTTCTTCCATATTAGAGGGTTCTTGATGTGAGGCATTGTATAGATGTCATGCATGTAGAGAAAAATGTGTGTGACAATATCATTGGAACGCTCCTTAACATTCAAGGAAAAACAAAAGATGATGTCAATGCTCGTTTGGACATGGTTGAAATGGGTATAAGAGAACAATTAGCTCATCAACCTCATGGTAACCGAACATACTTGCCTCCAGCATGTCACACACTGTCTAAAAAAGAGAAAAAAAGTTTTTGTGAGTTTTTACGAGGTGTGAAGGTTCCATTTGGTTACTCTTCCAATGTGAAGAGACTTGTATCTATGAAAGATCTCAAATTGCTTGGGTTAAAATCTCATGATTGTCATGTATTGATGCAACAACTTCTACCTGTGGCTATTCGAGGTATCTTACCAGACAATGTTAGATATTCCTTAACTCGATTATGCTTTTTTTTTAATGCCATATGTAGTAAAGTTATGGACCCGGATGTTTTGGATCAGTTAGAGAATGAGGCTGCAGTAATATTATGTCAATTTGAGATGTACTTTCCTCCATCATTTTTTGATATTATGGTTCACTTGATTGTTCATCTAGCTAGGGAAGTTAGAATCTGTGGTCCAGTTTTCTTACGATGGATGTACCCTTTTGAGCGATACATGAAAATATTAAAAGGGTATGTGAAGAACCAATATCGTCCTGAAGCATCAATTGTTCAAAGATATATTGCAGAGGAAGCTATTGAGTTTTGCACAAACTACTTATTAGAAGTTGAAGCTATAGGGTTACCTAAGACTCGTTACCATGGAATAGGTCTTGGTAGAGGAACTCGAGGTGCAAAAGTTGTGACAATGTGTCGAGATGAAGTACTTCAAGCGCATTTTTACATATTGAATAACAGTGAAGAAGTCATCCCTACTTAAGTGCTCATAAAGAGATTGTGAAGCGAAATAATCCACGTATGCCTAAAAAGTGGGTGATCACCGAACACAACAAGAGCTTTTTGAAGTGGTTTAAACAACAAGTTGAAGGTGACAATACAACTTCGATACACTAAAGTGGCTAGCATGTGAGCCAAACTTTGATGTGATATGTTGGGGTGGGTATGATATAAATAACTATTCATTTTATACAAAGGGAGAAGATGAAATAAGCACAATGCAAAATAGTGGAGTCATGGTGGTGGCTGAATCAATGCATTTCTCGAGTTCAAAGGATAAATATCCGATAAGGGCGTCAATGGGCTACTTTGGTGTAATTGAAGAGATTTGGGTAATAAATTACACGATATTCGAGTACCTATTTTTAAATGCAAGTGGGTTGATTTTAATACTGGCATCTTCACCGATGATCTTGGATTTACCTTGGTTAACCTTGAAAATACTCGTTATACCGAAGAACCATTTATCATGGCATCTCGGGCAAAACAAGTGTTTTATGTCACTGATCCCGCTAACAAAGGATGGTCGGTGGTTCTACAAGGAAAACTCATGTATACTTCGATGAGAATGATGAATTAGTACTTGATATACCCGAGACACCATGTTTCTCTTCAAATATGCCAAACTTGAGTGTTAATGTAGAAATAGATGATGTGCATACCATCCGTTATGACCATATGGAAGGATTTTGGGAGAATGCTCCAACTTGATAGGAAATTTAAGCATTCAATCTTCATAGGAAATTTAACTTGTAACAATTTAGATAGAATTGATTTAAGTTAGGAAATTTACATTCGTTTAAGTAAATGAACCGTCTGGAACTGGATCTGTCCGTACATATATTCATTTCAATGTGTTTCATATGTACATATCATGTCACGTAATCGAATCGTCTGTACTTGGATATATATCCGTAGCAAATTTATATATGAACTGTGCATATCTGTCACGTACTTGGATATGTGGTTATTTGTCTGGAACGTGATGAATAGGCGAAGTCTACTCGAAGAAAGGTAGCATCTGTAAATAAAATGCAGGTATTTTAAAAAAAATAACAATTTCTACGTCGGTTATGTCATTACCAGACGTAGAAAGTACTTTCTATGTCGGTTATAATTTTAACTGACATAGAAAGTAAGACTTTCTATGTTGGTTATAAGTGTTAGCCGACATAGAAAGTATATGACCGATCGAAACCAGTATGACCGATCAGAATAGCTCATACAAAATAAGACTTTCTACATCGGTTCCCGACTAACCGACGTAGAAAGTATTTATGTGACCGATCAGAACCAGTTATGATCGATCAAGATAGCTCTATGACCGATCATAACCGGTTTGACCGATCATAATAGCTCAAAGAAAGTAAGGCTTTCTACGTCGGTTCTATTAACCGAGCGTAGAAAGTCTTACTTTCTACGTCGGTTATTAGGAACCGACGTAGAAAGCCTTACTTTCTATGACCCCCGTATCTATGTCGCCGCTTTAACCGACGTCGAAAGCCCATTTTAACCGATGTAAAAAGCCTTTTCTGCAGTAGTGATTGGGTCAAAATACCCTTTGTTTGATCGGTAGATTTTATTGGAGGAGGAGGCGTTTTGAAAATCCCACGTCTTCTATCTCGTATCATTTAATATAATTTTAATATATATTAAACTACTCCAAGTTTTTATATAGAAAATTTTTATAATAGTGTGTCATATAAACATATCTTCTTAAAGGGACACCAGTATGTAGAAAGAGGGTTAAAGGGAATGGATAATTTCTGAGTTTATTTCGACAGAACAAAATATGAATTTTTACCTATAATAATCTTCATCGTATAACTAATTTACGTCAATAATTTAAAATTATCTAATTTATTAATTTTTAATCACGATTATAATAAGGATAAGTTTTGGACGGTCTCGATGAAATTTACTATTTAACTGATTATATATATCAGAAGCCATGTATGAAGGCGATGGAGTGAGGCTGACAATGTTGAAACTAATGGGAGATTCTCCATTTCTTCTTTCTTTCCTTTTTCACCGGCCCCCACTTCCGAGTTATACTTCATCTCCAAATCATCAAATAAAGAAATAAATATATAATGCATGCGAACACGTTAACTTCCTCACATGCATGCATGCATGGTGAGGCATTTGGTCAATCACTCATTTGAATTCAATTAGAATTAACTGAATTTTATTTATATTGAACCAAACATGGATGGATATAAATCATTATGAGCCTCACAGTTATGTCCACCTTCCACATGATCGGATATAACATTGTTTAGGACCCACTACCCATTAGGTTACTTGAATCTTGACATACAATAACAAACACTCTTTGTAACTATCTCTATGGTTTTTCTCCTTTTATCTCTTCACACCTCTCTGCAAATTATTATCAAATACATATCACTTACTTCTCTAACTTTTCCTCACAACTCACCCAAACAAACCGCAACATTCTGAGTACTGCTATCTAACTAAGGATGAAGGTGAGTGAAGATCAATTCTGCACGCTCACACACCCCAATTAATTATTCTTCTACTTATATATTTAGTGTGTTCATGCATTTCTTTGCTTCAGTTACTAGGGTGGATGCACAGAAAATTTCGCCAGAATAGCGCTGAACCGTTCAAAGACCTGGTCATTGGTAAGTTACACATCTGCCATATGTACTCACGAACATGTTTATGCATGGGCAGAACAATGAAAATGAAAGTCGCATATATTAGGAAGAATTGATTCACTTGTAGATTAATTACATCTGGTTTTGTGTTAGGGAATTCTTGTGACGATGATCATAACTATCTGAAAGGAAGCTTTGGGAATTACAAGCACGTGAAACAAAGTCAGAAAGAGCAGAACCTAAGAAAATCTTTCGCGGGTGTGGAAGATGAGGAGTTTGAGGAAGATTCAGCAGGGGCCATGTACGAGCTGTTCCACGGGTTCCTAGCAATTGGAACTCTGGGTTCGGAACAAGTTGTTAGTGATCCATCAACAACGCCAACATTCGCCATATCTGTGGAGAATATAACTGAAAAGGAAGATGAAGTGACTGAGAACGAACTGAAGCTGATAAACGATGAGCTAGAGAAAGTTCTTGGAGCGGACGATGAGTCGTCATGTGGGAGAAACAGCCATGTGAGCAATGGGAGAAGCAGCCATGGAAGCATAATAACTCTGAGCGGGAAGCCTCTGTTGGAAGGTGGAGGAGAATCAAATGGGAATGGAAGTGCAGTTTGTCCACTTCAGGGGTACCTCTTCGGATCGGCAATCGAGTTGTCAGAAACCACAACTGTGGCTGTGGCTAAGCAGAAGGAGCACAGGACATCGCTTGGGGAGCTGTTCCAGAGAAGCAAGCTGGCAGAGGAGAATGATAACAAGAGAAGTGAGAGGGAAGCAGACAAATCTGCCATGCATCTCATGAAAAAAAAGCTCAAGAAAAGAATGCTTCACACTTCTTCCCGAAGCTCCACCTCCCAGCCTGTTGATTCTGCTTCAGCTGAGAGAAAACTGCATAAGGTTCACATACTCACCTCAATTATTTTATCCTTCATTACCTTTTACGCTTACAGAAAATAATTTGTGGGTTGCAGATTCTTCATATGTTCCACAGGAAAGTTCATCCTGAAAATTGGACAGGTGCACAAAAGTGTGATAAGTACCAAAAGAGTGAGACCAAGAAGAAAACAATGAATGAGGTGGTGCATGGAGAGGAAGACATAATGATACACCCCAAAAGAGCAATGTCAAAGGAAAACATTATGCGACAATATTATAAGATCCAACCCAATCCATTCCACTTTGCTCTTGGCTGTGAAGACTCATCTGACAATAAGGAGCACTGGATCAAAACAGATGCTGATTGTAAGCAAACAACTAATATAATTAATTTCACCATTCTAATAGCACCAAACCCTTTTCATGTATATATAAAGACTGATATTATGAATTTTACTGCAGACTTGGTGTTGGAGCTCTAAAGACAAAGGAAAAAAGTAGGAAGGTATCATGGTGGATTGATGCTAAGATATAACAAGTAAAGTTATGTTTGTAACAAGTAATTTTATTTCTGAATGGCGGGCAGCAGCAATATATGATATGATGTGATATTGAAAATATGTTATGTTTGGGAGAAGAAGTAAAATAAGAGAGGTAGTCATCTCTTACCTCTTAGAGGTGTATACAAATATATATGTTCAGTAGTAATGATAGACAATATTTGTGGTTGAAATAAAATTGTGAATCGTGTATAAATGAACTAATCATGAATATGGTGTGCAATGCAAGTAGAAGAGAAACAATGGAGATTGCAAGGACTGGTTTAGAGTTTTACTTGTTAGTTTTTATGGATCTTTATGTTTGTTTCGAACTTACAACCTTTTCTGCTTGGCTCGCTACTCCTACGTTGCTTTTAAATTATTCATTAACTATTCACTCTCTCTATAACATTATGAGAAACAACGAATGATTAAGAAAATAAGATGAAAATATGAGTTTAAAATATGATGTGATGAATGATATATATGAGACGAAAATAGTCACTTCAACAATGAGGTAGCGGTGTAGAGTAGGATCCACTATCAGTGTCTGTGAATATACAACAAAGGAAACAAGTTAGAAAGGACTTCAAGAACTTGTTAATGGACACAATTTTTTTTAATTTATTTCCATCCATTTAAATAATACACATATATACTTGTTATTTTAATTGTTCAAGACTGGAATCTGATTCTTCTAAAAGTGAATTATTTTACAAGATAAAATAATTAATTTCCTTAATTCTCTTTATCTATATATGGATTTTAATTATATAGATTTTAATTTTTATTTCACACGTCCAATTTTGTCTATTTTATATTCTCTTGAGAAAATATACCCCTTATGCAAATATTTTTATTCTAAATTTCTCGCCTAATTCTTTTTATGAAAAATAATACTTTGACAAACCCAAATTCATATCATTCCTATAAATAATTCTATTTTAATATTATAATAATAGTTTTGTTTTATTTTTATTTTTAAATCATTTAATAAATTATTATATTAATAAAAGTTGAGTTATTCAAAGAATTGTATGGTTTCTGGTTATCAAAATATGACCGCTCTTTTTTTTTTTTTTGTTCTTCCGCTGTCTTTGATTTCAATTTCTTAGTCTCTTTTTTAATTTATAATTTTTGTTCTTATTTGCTGAGGATAAATAATCCTCTTCTAATTGCATAGTAACTTAAATTAATTTGTATAGTTTTACATAGAGAAGATACATTAGAGTGATTTTTAGTGAAGGAGAAGAAGTGAGATTAAAAATTATGAATAATTAAAATAATATGTTTGGGCCAAATAAAGTTAGTGGGCCAGGGCCAGGCAATTCTTGTTCGTGTGTTGATTGATGTTGTTTCTTTGGTCGATTCATTTGGTGTGGGCGCATCTGGGTTTAGTTTCATACTAACTAAGCTGCAGCTGGTGTTGCTGTGTGTGTGTGCGCGCGCGAGAGAGAGAGTGAGAGATGCCGAAGAGAACTACGCATACGTACTCAAGCGAGGACGCGGCTCCGGAGGGCCCTCACTCCGATCTCTTCGTTTATTACTGCAAACACTGCGGTTCCCACGTCCTTATTACTGGTTCGTTGCTTTCTTCCAATCTCTATTTCTTCTCTCTCTCTATCTTTCTCTCACCCCAACCTCTCCCTCTTCCTCGAGAAGATACCCAATTGCAGAAAATGCCGAAAAGGAAAACCGACAAAGCCTATGTACTCGACAAGACCAAACATCTTGCCCGATTCAACGTTCACCATGCCGGAAAAGTTCTCTTGAAGAGGGGCGAGGGCAAATTGGAGAAGCAATTCCGCATGAACTGTATGGGCTGTGGTCTTTTCGTTTGTTATCGCGCCGACCAGGATTTTGACCTTTCCTCTCTTATTTATGTTCTTGATGGTGCCCTCAGTACTGTTGCTGCCGAAACCAACCCTCAGGTTATCTCATCTCAGCTTTTATTGCTCAACATCACTCTCTCTTTCTCTCACTCACTCCTCTCTTTCTTTTCTTCAGGATGCCCCCGTTCCACCCTGTATTTCCCAGCTTGAAGGAGGGCTTGTTCAGGTTGCTATAGAGGTTGAAGATCGTGCACAACGTTCAGCAATCACCAGTACCCTTTCTCTTCCCTATTCATATCATCTACATTATGCTCCAAATCCCACTTTCCGTATTCATTTAATTGCTCTGCCCCTTCAAATTACGTCAAAATCACATTTTCTTCGACAAACAGATTATGAAAAATCACACTTCCTTTCATATACTGCCAATTTATGCCCACCACTTGTATGCTTACATGTACAACCTTAATTCATACCAAAATGGCACGTGTCTGCTTATATCTATGTCTGCTACCCGCTCATATTTCATGGATGGGTTAAGAAGCAGTATCAGCAACGAACATTATTTAAGGACATCGCTCATTTTGGTATGGTAGTTTAGAACAGTGATGTTTTGGAGCCCTTAATTGAAAAGAGGAAATGAGAATGGAGCAGAATGGTGGGGGTAGTTTAAGAAGAAATGGTCATCTTTTCTTCCACATTATATCAGAGTTGTAACTTCCGCTACATAATGGCATGCTTACAATACATTTACTGTGAAATTTTCTTCTAACTTTCTTAATAAAATCCTGTTGATCTTGAGGATTAAAGTTATACTTTTTTTTTTGCTGTATCAGGAGTAAACGCTGATGATGTTCGAGTCACTGTTGCTGCACCTGCTGCCCGTGGAGAGGCTAACAACGAACTTTTGGAATTTATGGGAAAAGTATATTTAGACCCTCTTTGTTTCTCTTTTTATTGGGTGTGCGTTTTGTCTCAACATTAAGGTTGTTGCTTTGTGACTTTTTGGTCATGGGATCTGTTTGCAAAAATAGCCTTTTTATTCATCAGAGCAAGGTTGCCTGGTGCCTAGTCATGATCCTCCTTGAACTCTTTGGACTTTGTGTTGGCCCTTTTTTGTTAGTATGTCTCTTTGCTCAATCTTTCCCTCTGGCCGAAGACAACTATAGCACTGACAGCTTTGCACGCACTTCACATTTTTTACATAGGTTTTGGGTTTGAGATTGAGTCAGATGACTCTTCAGAGAGGATGGAATAACAAATCAAAGCTTCTTGTGGTGAGTTACAGTATTATCAAGTATACCTCCATATGGAGCATCCACATTGATATGCATTTGGGCTCTTACCAAATGATACTATTCTTTATCATATTAATTCCAGTGACTTAATTATTTCTATTTCCCTCTTATAAGATTGCCCAAAAGTAATTATTTTCATATTTGACGATTGTTTCAGGTGGAGGATTTGACTGCTAGACAAGTTTATGAGAAACTTTTGGAGGCTGTGCAACCTTAATGTTGTGTTATTTTAGCTGTATTATCCATGGTCTCTGTCGGGCTTCTGTGACATACGGTTCTTGTGCATTTTCCATAGTAAGCCAGGTTGAATCGCATTGTTTCTTCAAAAATGAGTGGTTTAAATTTCAGTTGTAATGTTTACTTAGACACACCAAAGCAGAGCAATTGGCTACGTTGTAACAGAAAACCTTACTTGCTATGCCCATGTACTATATAACACATGATTGGATATACATTAGTGGATCAATATCTACCTGGTCATGAGAGAAACGTATCAAGATAATTTTTTCTGCAATATATCTAGGGTAAATTATGTATTGCACTCTAGTTTCATCACTTGTGAATTATTTTTTAATTCCTTTGTCAGTTAACTTTGGTTTGATTAATTTTAGTTTTAATTAAATATTGGTGTTTTATCTTGCACATTTATCCTTATTCAACACATTTCACATCTCAAAATAAAACTCGGTATGATATTATGAGATATGTTGTATGAATTTAAGTTTGATCTATTATCTGTGTAATTTTATATTATCAACTACTTAGAAACTATCTTAAAGACGATTTTTAATTTGACCACGTCAGTAACGAGATCTGTAAGTTTGAGTGAAGTTATTAAAGTCGATAACACGGACGCTGTAGGTATAATAAACCCAAATCCTTATTGCACGTTTTCACAGCCAATCTGGATTTTTACAAGTCTAGTTTATTTATTTGTTTTAGATTAAACTTTAGGTACCTTAATTTATATTAAGGTGTATGAATAGACTAACAATCTTGAATAGGCTTAGAAAGTTTTATTATTAATAATTATATATATATATATATATATATATATGTATATATATATATATATGTATATATTTTTTAATTTCTCCACCTACCTTGACTTGATGGTACTAATTAAAATGTTTTAGTTAGACAAAATCTTTTATAATTTATTATTTTAACTATTTTAAATATTTGTTAAAACAGTAAAAACATCTCTACCTTTAAAATTACGAAAATAAATCATACGTATTATTTTTCGTATAAATTTCAAGGGTATGTTTGTTTTCCAGAGAGATAGTAAGAAAAATTACAAATAAAAATGTTGTTTTCTTCTTTAACTTAGATGTCTTATTTTCGTGGAAGTGGAAAAATATGAGATAAATGATATTATATAGTTATTTTTCATTCAATAGATTAATTTTGGCTTAGGGTTTAGGTTTGGACTAAGAGTTAATGTAGTTACAACTGACATGTGTTTTCAAATAAGTAATGTGTAATAAGATTCAAGATTTGATTATTCTTACTCATTTTTTAATTATAGGCAGAACTTTAGTAGTTAAGAAAATTGTACAGGTCATATGAAACGGAGTTATTAAGTGTAATATTGATGATGCTATCGTTGACTGTTGGTGGTGGTATTTTTTGGGATAGCAGAGAGGGTATGTGGGTGATTTCACTACATTTCTTAGTGTTAAATTTGTTCTATATGGTGTTGAGCTTATTGTTGATTGAAACTGTTTTTTCTTAAGTTTTAGGTTCAGACTGGATCTCAGTTGGTAGTCTTGACTTGTAAGAATTAGGAGAAGATGATTTATAAGTATGTAAGTTCATATCTTTCATATATATAGAGAGACTAATAAATGTGCTAATGAGTTGGCTAATTTGGAAAATCTAAACAAAGAGGATTTTTATTGGTATAATTCTGTTTTTTTTTAGTCTTAGACTATTTTGGAATAGGTACTCTCTTCCAAAATTAAGATTAGTGGTTTTATTTGTGAATAAATTTTGGTCTCCCTCATTTCTTTGATTATTTTAATGGAATATACTATAAGAGTGACGAGCAAATGGCTGTAGATGTTGGTTAACTAATGCTTAATCCCATGACTAAAAAAACTAAATTAATTTATTTTTAAATATGATTTTATGATAAAAAGTATTATATATATATATATATATATTTATATATATTAAAGTATATATTATTGAAAAAATAAATCTTAATTTAAAAATTTATTTTATTCTAAAAAAATTAATAATTATGAATAATTTTGTGATGATACACATATTTAATTTTAATTTTTTTATCTATTATATTTTAAATTAACATTTTTCTTTTTTACTTCTTTTGCTTCTCTTAATAAACAAATATATTTTTCATCTTATTTTATATCTCTTTTTCTCTTTGTTTTTCTTATGATGGAATGATTTTTTAAGACTTTTCTTATTGCTTTTGTTTATTTTCTTCTTTTTCTATTTTTTAAATTTCTTTTTCATGGTTATGAAAAATAAAATATAAGTACTTTGGTCCATCAACAATTCAATTGTACATTATGTGTTTCTTGTTTCGTTTTTATTTTTCTTATTGACCTAATTTCTCATATGTACATTATAAGTGTAAATGAATGAAAGTATAGGGAGAATATTACTAACTAAACATAGCTGCCATTCCCAATTGTCTTCTTCCGCAACTAGTTGCCATGAATCTATCAATCTATCTCTCTTGATAAGAGAAGGAATGTTTATGGCTTATTAGGAAGGATATTTATAGAAATTCATTAAATAAAAGAAAATTGAATAAAATATTTTACCATTTTCAAAAGTATTAAAAGTTGAAGATGCATTCAGGGGAGAACCAATAACAATGGTAGAAGTGGAGGCACGTGTTAAGGAGTTGGAAAGGAATGGGTGTCCACGTGTTAAGGATAGTAAGCTATGCTCATTGCTCACTCTCCAAAATATCATCCATCCCGATATCCCGTGAAATGAAATGAATCCATGATTTGATTTGGTTTCCAAGTTGAGGAAAGAAGAAGAAGAAGAAGAAGAAGAAGAAGAAGAAGAAGAAGAAGAAGAAGAAGAAGAAGAAGAAGAAGAAGACAAGTCACGCAATGGATTCTTTGCGTGTGTATGCGTCTACCACCCATCCATGCGTCTGTGTCTGTGCCCATCCCTCCACTCCCACTTGTACCAACAAAAACCATCTCAGATTCCTCCTTCCATCTCTCCCTCTTCTTCGCCCTCTCCATCTCCGATTGCCTCCGCCTCTCTCCGCTCTCCCCTCTCCTCAAACGCAGACAAGGTCCTTCTCTCTCTCTCTCTCTCTCTCTCTCTCTCTCTTTTTCTCTAATTCATCATTTCTTCTGCTTACTTCCAATATATATGCTTACCTTCCATCTAACTACTCCAATCAATGTCAGGGACCAACAAGAAGAAGAAGGTCACAAGAACGACTCTTCTGTGACCATGAAGCGCCAAGTTCGTTTGCAGCTTCGGTTAGATCACCAGGTTCAATTTGGTGATCACGTTGTCATCCGAGGATCAACCAAAGAATTAGGATCATGGAACAACAATGTTCCCTTGAACTGGACGCCAAACGGATGGGTGTGCGACTTGGAATTTAAAGGGACCGGTCACATTGAGTTTAAATTCGTCACTGTCAAAAAGGATTCCACTTTGGTTTGGGAAGGCGGAAAAAACAGAGTGTTGAAGTTGCCCGTGGCAGGTCATTTTACCACCGTCGCTACGTGGGACGCAACGCAAGAGAATTTGGAATTACACCCTTTGGATGAACACCTACAACTACAACAAGAGGAGGAAGGTAATGGATATGATGCTGCTACTTCTTCTGTTTCCGAAAAGGCAGAGCCAAGTCCCTTTGTAGGTCAGTGGCAAGGTAAACCTGCTTCTTTCATGCGATCCAACGAGCATCGAACCCATGAAACACAAGGGAAATGGGACACTTCAGGTCTCCATGGCTTGCCTCTCAAGTTCGTTCAGGGTGACCAAAACGCTAGGAATTGGTGGAGAAAGGTACTTCAATTCAAAATGTTCCCTTCCCTCAGTGCCTGCTTTAAAAACCAGTACCATTCCTTTTTAATCAGCATATTAACGTTATATAATTTTCTCTTTGAAGCTTGATATCGTACGTGATATTATAGCTGAAAGTCTGCAAGGGGAAGATCGATTGGAGGCTCTTTTATACTCGGCCATCTATCTCAAGGTCTTGTTCTGTCTTTTTCATTGAATCGTCTATGCTTTCTTTTACAATCATCTGAGCCCTTGTTACATCATATGTGCAGTGGATAAACACAGGGCAAATATCTTGTTTTGAAGATGGAGGTCACCACCGCCCCAATAGGCATGCTGAGATTTCAAGGCTTATATTTCGTGAACTAGAGCGACACACTGCTCGGAAGGATATATCTCCACAGGTGATCTATTATTACTTTTTACAATGGATCATATCGACTTGATTGAATAATAGATGTTGCTGATATTTCACAAAATTATATGAGGGTGGATATTTCTGTCATTGGTTTGACAGAGCAATAACATTTTACATGCGTTTCGGCCTATAGGGATTTCATATAATTTTTTCTAGAAACTAAAATTAGTCTATGCTCAGGTTATTTTACAGAATTTATCTTATATTAACTTTTTTTAAATCTATCTTTTTACTTATACTTAATTTTAACTTCTGTAGAAATTTCTTTCATTTTTATCATTTTCTTCTCTTCAAAGTATTTATGGAGAAGTTTACTCAAACAAACCCTTATTTTAGATTGTTTGAATAGAGTGTTATAGTTCAAATGCAGTAAATTAGTTCCATATCTTCTTAATGTATTCCTTGTCTTTTTTTTCTGTCAAATTTTTGTAACAGTTGTTCTGTTTTAAATTATTTGCTTAAGTTCAGGCATGTCCTATAAAATGTCTGACATACATTTAATGTTACTTGTACGAGAATAGGAAATTATTGTTTAAAATGTGTTTTTGAAAATTTGATATATTATTTCTTTACATTTGCCACCTCTTTTTTATGTCTTGCTGTCCAATAAAGTTTATGTCTTACTTCTTTCATGTGCCATATTTTCACTAACATACAGGAAATTCTAATCATCCGAAAGATTCATCCATGTTTGCCATCTTTCAAGGCAGAATTCACTGCATCTGTACCTCTTACTCGAATTAGAGATATTGCTCATCGAAATGACATCCCACATGACCTCA